TTCGCTTTTTGAATATCAAATCTATAAATACCCTCCTTCCCTTCTCTTGGCTAAACTCACACACAACTCTCTCTCTCTCTTTTGCTATATATACTTCTCTTTTTTTTTCCTTCATATTTTTCTACTTCAGAGTCTCCAAATGGCTGGTGTTGAGGTATTTATTTATTTGTTTAGTGAATTGTACAACTTCCAAAACTTCAAAACATATGTAGCTAGCCATTCATTTCCAAAAAAAGAAAAGAAAATCAACTATAACTGATATAATTGTGTACTAGTGTGATTATATATTCATCCATTTGATATAATCTTCATATTTCTTTCTAATTTTTTTTGCTAAAAATTTCTTTTTAATTTGAGAGCTCAATTTTATGTTTGTAGAAATTTGATAATCAGTCCATTAGTTGTTTGATCAATAAATCATCTATAAAAAGGCTAATCATGATTCATTGACGCAAAACTCGCTCCATTTCTTATAATAGGTTGAGAAAATAGTGTCAAAGACCGAAGAGAAAATCGCGACCGAGCCAACGGCTAATGAAACCGTTCATACAGATCACTCGGCCACGGTGGTTGAAGTTGAAATCAAAGAAGATGAAGCACCAGAAGTAAAGAAAGAAATTGAAAAAACCGAGATAACCCCGGTTAAGGAGGAGAAACTGGTTGAAATTCCGGCAGCCGTGGAGGAGAAAGAGGTTAAACCGGCAGCAGAAGAGAAGGCTGTTGAAGTCAAGACAGTGTAATAAGCCTTTTTAACCATACCAACATTTTTACTTTGTTAAATCCTATATTTGATGAAATATTAAGGTGATGAGTTTCGCATTATAAGAAGAATATTGAGGTGATACTATTATTAATCTAATATATTTTCTATGATGAGATTATTGAGATGGTCTTAAGAGAGTTCGATAACCTTTTTATGATCAGTCGAAGGCCCCTAATTATTTACCACTAAGGTTTGATCTTTACTTACATGATTAGATCAGTCCAAAACCAAACAAGCAAAAAAAAAACTGAAAACGAAATGTAATAAAACGACACCATTTATGAAACATTTCCTCATTACCATAGGTTTCAAAATAATTTATCCATAAGTTAAAAAAAAAGCAGAGCTAAAGAAAGGTTTCACCTTTCTTTCTTTTTGTCATAAACAAAAAAAAAACTAAATCTATACACCAAAAGCACCAATCTACAAACCCTAA